TTTTTTTTTTTGAGACAGATTCTCAAAATTGTCACCCTGGGTTAAGTGCCATGGCATCATAGCTCACAGCAACCTCCAACTCTTGGGGTCAAGCAATCCTCTTGCCTCAGTTTTTCTATTTTTAGTAGAGACAGGATCTTGCTCTTGGTTAGGCTGGTCTTGATCTTGTGAGCTCAAGCAATCCACCCACCTCAGCCTCCCAGAGTGCTGGGATTACAGGTGTGAGCCACTGCACCTGGCCTCAGAAACTTATTTTTGAGGGCTAGTTTTAGTAATGTTGCAACTTTGTCAGAGCCCTCAGATTCTAATATCTTTCCATCACCTGACAATGAGCCAAAGCCACTTGGTTGACACCCTTCTTGTGACCACCCAGAAGTGCACTTACTTGGGGACCCTCTGCAGAAAGCACTGGTAACCAGGTGTGCACTTGCCATAATCTATCTGCTTTTGCCGTTGCTGGAGAACAACTTCATCTGTCTCTGTTTCCCACCTGCAAGGAAGTAATAGTGTCACACAAAGTGTGATTATACTGTAGTCATCAAGGCAGAAATCAACTCATCTCACACTCTCTTAGTCCCCAGCCTGATTTTCAAATTCACCTGGCATGGCAAGGCTTTGTGCTGACTCCCACACTCACTTTATCTATCCTAGAAGACAAAGAGTCTTCACATACCTTCTTTCTGAAGAAGTAGATTCTACAGATGAAAAGGGTATTGGGATAAAAACAGGATGACTACACTATGCCTCTCAGCCACTACTACCACCAAGATCCTAACATCAGATAAAGATGATATTTCTGACTTGTTTATCAAAGAGTAAAAAAAAAATTTTTTTTTGAGAGTCAACCTGTCGCCCTGGGTAGAGTGCTGTGGAGTCATAGCTCACAGGAATCCTCCAACTCTTGAGCTCAAGGGATCCTCTTGCCTCAGTTTTTCTATTTTTAGTAGAACAGGGGTCTCGCTTTTGCTCAGGCTGGTCTCAAACTCCTGAGCTCAAGCAATCCACCCACCTTGGCCTCCCGCAGTGCTAGGATTTCAGGCGTGAGCCACTTCACCTGGCCAAGTTTTCATTTTTGACTTTTGTTTCTCAAAGTGTGCTTTGCAAGCCAGCTGCATGGATAGCACTTGGAGACTTTGATAATTCCTAGATCCCACACCAGTCCTATTGAATCATCATTTTAAGAGCCTGCATTTTAAAGGGCTTATAAGGTTATTCTAAACATTTTTCTATCATGGAAAATTTCAAATATACACTGAAGTAGAGTATAGCATGACGCCTTACTACTCAAAGTACAGTCCTAGGACCAGCTACATCAACATCAATTGGGAGGTTATTAGAAGTGGAGAATTGTGTGCTACAACCTGACCTAGTGAATTAGAATCTGCATTTTAACAGGATCCCCAGGTGTTTAATATGTACATTAAACCTTGAAAAGCACAAATATAATGGACTCCTCTGCTCCTTATCACCCAACACTCAAGGAAAATCTTTTATCAGTACCCACCCAACAGGATTCTTTAAAAGCAAATCCTGGGCCGAGGTGGTGGCTCACGCCTGTAATCCTACCACTTTGGTAGGCCCACGCGGGTGATTGCCTGAGCTTGTGGGTTCGAGAACAGCCCCAGCAAGTGTGAGACCCCATCTCCAAAAAAATAGCTGGGCATTGTGGTGGGCAAAGGTAGTCCCAGCTACTTGGGAGGCTGAGACAAAAGAATCGCTTGAGCCAAAGAGTTTGAGGTAGCTGTGAGGTATGACGCTATGGCACTCTACCAGGGGCAACAAAGTGAGACTCTGTCTCAAAAATAAATAAATAAAAGCAAATCCTTAACATTAATAATTTCATGGGTGGCGCCGGCCACATACACGGAGGCTGGCGGGTTCCAACCTTGCCTTGGCCATTTAAAGCAACAATGACAACTGCAACAACAACAAAAAAATAGCTGGGCATTGTGGCGAGCGCCTGTGGTCTCGGCTACCTGGGCGGCTGAGGCAAGAGAATCGCGTAAACCCAGGAGGAGTTTGAGGTTGCTGTGAGCTGTGACGCTACAGCACTCTACCCAGGGCGACAGTTTGAGACTGTCTCAAAACAAAGAATTTCAAAGTATCACCAAGCAGGTGTTCAAATTTCTATTGACAACAAAAAGTTTGTTATCCCTGGGATTGTAATAAGGATTATGCCAAGAGATGATTCAGCTTTTCTACTTTCCCTGAAAGGGAATCTGTTTTTACCCACACAATCTAGCGTCTCTCAGATACTGGGAAAAGAAGGGACCTTGAACAAGGAAAGCTCTAGGAAAGGGCCAGTGCCACTCAGTATAAACACACACACCTGTCTCCCCCCAACACCTGCCACACAGAAGGCAAATACTCCATCTCCAGCGAAAGGCTAGTGAAACTAAGAAGGAATGGTCCATGTAACGGCACGCGAAAGAAGTCAAAAATGAAGTGCTCATAACATCTTTCCCCTTAACCGCTCTTATTAGTACCCTAACGAATGATCACAGACAGCGAAGCGCAATTTAAATCTCCCGGGGTTCGCGAGGCTGCGCAAGGAAGAGTTCAGAAAAGGTGTGGCGGTTGGCCAGAGGGAGAGCCAATGGTGCCTCAGGCTCCATGTTGGGCGGAGCTTTCCTAGTGGCGTGTCTAACGCTAGTAGACCAATCGTCATCCTGCTCTGGCTCCGGGGCGGAGCAAATTTTGCTCCGGCCGGCAGTAGCTTACTCCTCCCGCGAGATGTACGAGCCCAACCATTGGCCGTGGCGAGGGGCGGGGATTTGGGCGCGCGGGCGGAGAATGGCTGATCCAACTGAGAGGTGAGTGCGGATAGGTTATTGAGAGGGCGGAAGGTTTGAACGGTCAACACCAGTGGCTATTGGTATTCTAGCACAGAAGCCATAACTTCCGCTGTCGGTCCAGGCTACCGGCAAATCCCGATTCTGACCTACCCAGTCGAGAAGTAGGATCGTAGTCTGGTTAACTGCATCCTTTCCCTAGATTTTTTTTTATTTTGCCCAAGTCTTCACTTGTGTCAATCCCTATCCACTTTCCCTTCTCCCGCAGGCAAGTCAGCCTCCAAACTTTAGGTAAGCACGGAGCCGTCTCCCTCACATAATCACAGAGACCCCTTTTGCACTTTTACGGTCCAGACGGGAGCCCGAAACGGAAGTTCAGAGGACTGAATGAGCATAATAGCAAATTAAGAGACCTGAGTACTTTCCCTTGAGGAGTCTTGAGGTTTGTGGCCTGGAACAAGTCAAAGTCCTCTCTTTATTCTACCTTTAAAAGTCCTGAGGTTGGCTCGGCGCCTGTGGCTCAAGCGGCTAAGGCGCCAGCCACATACACCTAAGGTGGTGGGTTCAAATCCAGCCCGGGCCCACCAAACAATAATGATGGCTGCAACTAAAAGCCGGGCGTTGTGGCGGGCGCCTGTGGTCCCAGCTACTTGGGAGGCTGAGGCAGGAGACTCCCTTGAGCCCAGGAGTTGGAGGTTCCTGTGAGCTGTGATGCCACGGCACTCTACCCATGGGGACAGCTTGAGGCTCTGTCTCAAAAAAAAAAAAAAAAAAAGTCCTGAGGTTGCCCCTCTTCGGTAAGTTCAGTTTCCACGAAGAAGCTAAGTCTCTTCCAGTAAGTGTGTTTTAACTTTCAGCTGGGTTGTGAATCTCCCTTATGGGCTGCTCCTCCCCTAATACTGATCCGCTTGGCGAGAAGAGGTGAAGGAACTTATTTATTTTCTTCTTTGGTGAATGAATTTGGAAAGCTGAATGAACTGTGATGTACCTGTATAGATGATATTCTACTTCTAGCTAGATTTTGGGGTTTTTTTTGTAAGAACTCAGAGACCATGTCTACAGAACTCATCTCATCCACACCCGAGGAGGGGAGCTCTGGTTCAGGACCCAGTTTTAGGCTCAATCAGAGGAAAATGTTAAACTTGCTCCTGGAGAGAGACACTTCCTTTACCATCTGTCCAGATCTTCCTAGAATGCCAATGGACAAACTGCTTGGGGAGTCTTCAAACCTAAGCATTTTGTCTGGGTAAATCCACTTTTATTCCTTTGATTTTTTAAACAATTGAGGGTTTTTGTTTGCTTTTTAAATTATCCTAGCTCATAGGTCAGGATTTAAGTCTGACCTCTGACCTTGACTGTGTAATCCTTTTGAGTCTCTGGATTTTTTTCTGTGAAACAGAAAATATTTCTTCCTATTTTACTAGAATCTTGTGAGACTCAAAGGTTATGATGTCTGGGAAAAGTCTTAGAAAACTATATTGCATTATATAAGTTGGTTGCGTCATTAGTATTAATATTAGTGTTTTGGGCGCGGCACCTGTGGCTCAGTGAGTAGGGCTTCGGCCCCATATATGGAGGATGGGTTTGAACCCAGCCCTGGCCAAACTGCAACAAAAAAAATAGCCAGGCAGTGTGGCAGGTGCCTGTAGTCCCAGCTACTTGGGAGGCTGAGGCAAGAGAATCACCTAAGCCCAAGAGTTTGAGGTTGCTGTGAGCTGTGACGCCATGGCATTCTACCTAGGGTGACAAAGTGAGACTCTGTCTCTAAAAATATATATATATACATATATATATATAGTGTTATTGTATCTTAAATTCTGATCATACCATGTCCTGATGCCTTAGCTAACAAAGACAAGTACCTGAGAAATAGTTTTCTAAGACTTAAGGGAGAAATCAAATCTGTGAGTTTGTGGTACATAGGGCAGAGGATGTGGGGACAAGGCACTCCGTCACCAGCAGGCAATAAAAACAAAACTTTGGGCTTTGTGAAAAACAAAATTAGGCCAGGGGAGGTGGCTCACACCTGTAATCCTAGCACTCTGCAAGGCCAAGGCAGGTAGATTGCTTGAGCTCAGGAGTTCAAGGCCAGCCTGACCAAATGTGAGACCCCCATCCCTACTAAAAATAGAAAAAGTAGCTGGATGCTGTGGTGGGTGTCTGTAGTCCCAACTACTTGGGAGGCTCAGGCAGGAGAATCCTTGAACCCAGGAGTTTGAGGTTGCTGTGAGCTGGGATACCTCAGCACTCTACCCAGGGTGAAAAAGGGAGACTACATCTCAAACATAAATAAATAAATAAATAAATAGTTATCCTGCCTCAAAATTTTGGTAAGGAGAAAATAAGGTAGAGATTATTGTAGAGGGAGATTTTTCTCAGCCCATTCTATTTCCAAAAGGTAATTAGATTAATTTTGAACTGGTCAGATTATCTGATAGTCATTGAGGGATGTTTCAAATGAAAAGGATAATATAATCTTTGCTTTTTAAGGATACTACAACCTGAAAACAATCTTGATGTACTATTATGTCTCAACAGAGGAACCCCAAAATGTTGCCTTGATCTTTCTAATCTTAGCAGTGGGGAGATGTCTGCCACTCAGCTCACTACTTTCACAGACCCTGATGAAACTGGTAGGAAAAATGGAGGCAAAGGCCTCAAAGGAAAAAATAACTTTTAAGGGAGAATAGGATAGAGATGGAATGTGGTGAGAATAGAAGATGGAATTTTGTGGCTAACTAGAAAAAATTTTTTTTTTTTTTGAGACAGCCTCAAGCTGTCCCCCTGGGTACAGTGCTATGGCGTCACAGCTCACAGCAACCTCCAACTCCTAGGCTCAACCGAGTCTCCTGTCTCCACCTCCCAAGTAGCTGAGACTACAGGCGCCCGCCACAACGCCTGGCTATTTTTTGGTTGCAGCCATCATTGTTTGGAGGGCCTGGGCTGGATTCGAACCTGCCAGCTCAGGTGTATGTGGCTGGTGCCTTAGTTATTTGAGCCACAGGCACCGAGCCTAACTAGAGGATTTTTGAGAAGAATGAGTAAATCAATGAGAAGAGAACAGTCATAACACTAATAGGAGTCACTTTACATTTGAACAGTTAAACAGGAAAGAACATATTTTGTTGACTGATTAATGGTGGGGATGAAAGTGCAGTAGTTAGGATATGAGATATTTTGTGCCCTAGTCTACTCTTAAGATGGGCAAAGAAACCAGAATAAAGACAAATGTTGCCAACTAGTTCTGATGTGTTTATATAGGTCTGTGCCCAAAAGGAATGTTTCATTATTCTTTTTTTTTTTTTTTGCGGTTTTTGGCTGGGGTTAGGGTTTGAACCCACCACCTCCGGCATATGGGGCCAGCGCCCTACTCCTTGATCCACAGGTGCCACCCCAGGAATGTTTCATTATTCAACCAGTCTAGTATTTGTCCTAATTTCAAGCTTTCATTTCTACTTTGAAAAAAATCTTCATAAGTTAGCATAGTGCACTGCTTCCCATCATTTTTTCTTTCCCTGACGCATATAAATTCTTACGTCTCCATAAAATTGTGCATTATACTTTATACCATGAAGTGGGCACTAATCGAGGGGCTTTGTGTTCAAAAGCTCAGCCTTTGAAATGAATACGGCTTACTGGTAATGAAGAAAATCCAAAAGAAAAACAAGGTGTGGATAAGATAACTCCCCTACTGATTTTTCATATCTGATAGCAGGTCACTTGGATTCTTCAGGATCTCAAGAAATGCAGTTAGCTGAGATGTAAGTTCTGTTGCTAAATTAGTCCCATGCCTTTCAGCACGCAGACTCTACAGAGTACAAAACCTTTCAGTTTGGGTATAAGTGGGTTTCGAGCTCCAGATCCTTACCTTGAACACTTTTAAATTTCCCAGATGTAATTAATAGGGTTGGGGAATTGATAGCTGTTCTTGCCCAGGTTAGAGTGCTGTGGCATCATCATAGCTCACAGCAACCTCAAATTCTTGGGTTCAAGCAATCCTGCTGTGTCTGCCTCCCAAGTAGCTGGAACTATAGGCACCTGCCATAATCCGTGGTAATTCTCTTTTCAGTAGAGACAGGGTCTCAGGAACTCATGAGCTCAAGTGATGTTCCCACCTGGGCCTCCCAGAGTGCCAGGATTACAGGTGGGAGCCACTGCATATGGCCTAAGGCTGTTCATTTTAATCATCACATACAATCACAATTATCTTCAAAAATGAAGGGAAGGCCAGACTCTGTGGCTCACACTGGGATGCCTAGGCAAGTGGATTGCTTGAGCTCAGGAGTTCCAAGGCCAGCCTGAGCAAGAGCCAGACCCTGTCTTTACTAAAATAAGAAAGCTAGCTATACCTAGTGGCCCCCGCAAATAGTCCCAACTACTAGGGAGGCTGAGGGAAGAGTATTTCTTTTTTTTTTTTTTAATTTAATTTTAATTTATTTTTTGGGGAGGCAGGGCTGGGTTTGAACCTGCCACCTCTGGCATATGGAGCCAGCGCCCTACCCTACTGAGCTACAGGCGGTGCCTGGGAAGAGTATTTCTCAAGCCCCAGAGTTTGAATTTTTTGTAAACTGTGATGCCATAGCATTCTACTCAGGGCGACAGAGTAAGGCTCTTATCTCAAAATAAATAAAACCTGTGAGCTCAGGCAATCCACCTCCCTCAGCCTCCCAAGTGCTGGGATTACAGGAGTAGGCTGTATAGGCTTTAATTTGCACGTAAGAAGTTCTATATCTTAGGAATTAAAAGTACAGAGTGCAGGTTGTGGAATCAGTTTCTGGATTCAAGCAGCTTCCTACTTCACCAGCTGTGATTCTGACGTTTCTTAACTGCATTGCATCTTAGTTTCTTTATAACATGGAAATAATACTATTTCTCATAAATAGCTATCATAAAGATTAAATGAAAAATATGTATCTGGCATATACCAAACATTTTATAATGTTTGCTATTATTACTATTTTGGATACTGTTGGAGATCCTAAATTTTTTTTTTTTGAGACTGAGCTCAAGCTGTCGCCCTAGGTATAATGCCATGGTGTCATAGCTTACAGCAACCTCCCACTCTTTTTTTTTTGCAACCTCCAACTCTTGGGCTCAAGTGATCCTCTTGCCTCAGTTTTTCTATTTTTAGTAGAGCCAGGGTGTCACTTTTGCTTAGGCGGGTCTTGAACTCCTGAGCTCAAGCAATCCACCTGCCTCAGCCTCCCAGAGTGCTAGGATAGACCCTAAAATGTTTAGTCAGGAAATACTCAAGGAATAGAAACTAACTTTACTTATTTATTTATTTATTTAGAGACGGAGTCTTTGTTTTCCTCAGTAGGGTGCTATGGCATTATACCTCCCAGGAACTTCAAACTCTTGGGCTCAAAGTGATTCTCTTGCCTCAGCTTCCCTGGTAGCTGGGACTACAGTCGCCTGCCACAGTGCCTGGCTTTTATTTTTTTTTTTTTTAGAGATGGGTCCTCATTCTTGCTCAGGCTGGTCTTAAACTCCTGGGCTCAGGCAATCCACCTGCCTTGGCCTCCCAGAGTGCTAGGATTACAGGCATGAACCACTGTACCTGGCTAAAAATTAATTTTAATTCAAAACTTCTTAAATTACTCCAATTTTTCTACTTGGCTATTTTAATATTTTTAGAAATTTATCCTTTAATGTTTAGGTGAATTACATACTACTTTAGCACACTACAGAAGGCTTTCTTTCCATGGCTATTTTTGCCAATACATGTAAAAATTTCATTTATAATGCTTATATTTTGTTTGTATTGCTGTAAATGTTCTAACCCATGTCAACTTGGTAAGATCTTAGGAGAGGATAGAAATTAACAACAACAAAAAATTAGCCCCCAATAGTCAATGTTAGAAAATGAGTAAGTTGTAAATCGTATGTACTTAAGACATAGGACAAACTCATCTATTTTTTTTTTTTTTTTTTGAGACGGAGCCTCAAGCTATCCCCCTGGGTAGAGTGCCATGGCATCACAGCTCACAGCAACCTCCAGCTCCTGGGCTCAAGCGAGTCTCCTGCCTCAGCCTCCCAAGTAGCTGGGACTACAGGCGCCCGCCACAACGCCTGGCATTTTTTGGTTGCAGCCATCATTGTTGTTTGGCGGGCCCGGGCTGGGGATAACTCATCTATTTTTTGTGTGTATTTATATATATGTTGTTATCCAAGTGAGTGCTTTATCCCAGGATGTCACTTGAGTCTTAATATTTACCACAGAGAATATCCTATATATTGTTATTGGAAGAGACATATCAATTAAGAATAAGGCTTCTACAATGAAAGAAAGGAAAAACCCATGGAAAAATAATCAAGTAGTATTTGAGGCTTACCTGACTGGCAGTTTGTTTTAATCCATAGAAATCATCACCAGCAGCTTATGAAATACAGCTCAGTGAGTAGCATCTCTTTCAAGTTTGTGTTTGTTTCTCAGGTGGGAGGTAGAGGGTTTCCAGCTCACCTGTGACTTGAGAATGCTGATGTTCTCAGCACTCTCTTTTAGGCACAGCTTCTTTGTAGTACTCCAAATGGTTTGGACCATGGCCACAGAAAGAAAGATGCAAAGTATGGATCATCTGCAAATAAAGAAAATGTGAGTATTTAATGGAAACACAGATATATTAGTGGTTTTATTCCTTTGTGTAAAGCAGTCCATTGATACCATTGTGAGACCTAGAGCTGTTTATACCTTAGTGTGCTGGACAAGCAAATTGCATTGCTTTAGGGAAAATAAGTATTTTGTTTTGTTCTTTTTTCTTTTTTTTTTTTTTTTGAGACACAGCCTCAAGCTGTCACTCTGGGTAGAGTGCTATGGCATCACAGCTCACAGCAACCTCCAATTCCTGGGCTTAAGTGATTCTCTTGCCTCAACCTCCCAAGTAGCTGGGACTACAGGTGCCTACCACAATGCCTGGCTATTTTTTGGTTGTTGTTGTCGTTGTTACTTGGTTGGCCTGGGCGCAGACCTGCCAGCTCTGGTGTATGTGATTGGTGCCTTAGCCGCTTGAGTTACGGGCGCCAAGCCTTGTTTTGTTTTCATCAGGGTTTGACCCAAGAACAGAGATCTAGTTCCAAGTCCTGCATTACTATTTATGCTCAGTTGATCACTTTGAGGACCAAAAGTACTGTTACTACAATGTAAAGAATTTAGGAGGTGGTTGTTTTGTTTTGTTTTGCTTTTGCAGTTTTTTGCCGGGGCTGGGTTTGAACCCACCTCCAGCATATGGGGCCGGCACCCTACTCCTTTGAGTCACAGGCGCTGCCCCGAGGTGTTTTTGTTTGTTTGTTTTTTTAGACAGTCTCAAACTGGGACTACAGGCACCCAACCATAACGCCTGGCTATTTTTTGGTTGCAGCTATCGTTGTTTGGCGGACCTGGGCTGGATTCAAACTCACTAGTTCAGGTTTATGTGGCTGGCACCTTAGCTGCTTGAGCCACAGGCGCCGAGCCAGCCAGGAGTTCTTATTTTTAACAGATACCACATATGGATAACTTGCAGAACTTGTTCACAGGTTCTTTTCATGGCTTAACACTCAAGTAGATTTCTTAGGTTCTTCTTATTTCCCTCTTACTCTGCTTTTTAGCCCCTGTTCTGAGGAAGCCATAGTTGTTTTCATCTAAGCCAGGCCATCCTTATATTCTAAGTTGAAACTGGCCTCTCCAGAGCTACCTAATCACTAAGATAATTCTCTAATCTCTTCAACTAATCCCCTTTTCTAGGCATCTTTTTTTCCCCCTGCCTCTCATTCCTTTCACCAGGTCAGTATGCATAAAACATAGCTGCTGTTCTTTTCATGTCTAAAATAAGCCTGTGTTTTTGGTGGTTCTGATCAGCTTTTTCTTGATTCACTTTTATAAATCTTACCATTTTGTTCCTAAGCAGACATCCTCCCCTTTTACTACATACTTGTGACCATAAATTAGTATCCTCCAAAGCAAATCTATAAGTCATACATCAAAACCAAACCATAATTTACATCTTCAGAATATAGGGTTAGCCTTGATTACATTTAATGTATTTTATGAGGGTTATTCAATGGCTTCATCAGATGAAATGTTTTGGGCAGAGGCAACTAACACTTCTCTTCCTCTAACTAATGCAGTTTTTTTTTTTATGCAGGAAAACAATACTTTGAAACCCTTAAAGTGGCAGGCACACATGAACCTGAGATTTCGAAAGAGATTAGGGGGCCCTTATGTGTCCCCCCTTTCTCTGCTGGTGAGTCACTGAACATATCATCATTAAGAGTCATTTCAGGGTTATAGGCTGTGGAATGGCAAGTTTGGATTTACAACTTTTTGAATTTTACTAAGGTGACTTGGATGAGAAATGGGGATGGAAAAGTAAAGTTTGAGCAGGAAAAGAGAGGAACCATATATCTTTTTTTTTTTTTTTTTTTTTGAGACAGAGCCTCAAGCTGTTCCCCTGGGTAGCTCACAGCAACCTCAAACTCCTGGACTTAACAGATTCTCTTGCCTCAGCCTCCCAAGTAGCTGGGACCACAGGCGCCTGCCACAACACCCAGCTGTTTTTTTTTTAAGAGACAGAGTCTCATTTTGTCACCCTCGGTAAAGTGCCATGGTGTCACAGCCCACAGCAACCTCTAGCTCTTGGGCTTAGATAATTCTCTTGCCTCAGCTTCCCAAATAGCTGGGACCACAAGCGCCTGCCACACGCCCAACTGTTTTTTTTGTTGTTACAATTTGGTCGGGGCCAGGTTCGAACCCGCCACCCTTGGTATATGGGGCCAGCGCCCTACTCCCTGAGCCACAGGCACCACCTTGCCAGGCTATTTTTTGGTTGCACTTGTCGTTGTTTGGCAGGCCTAGGCTGGATTCGTACCTGTCCGCTCTGGTGCTCTGGCATATGTGGTTGGCACCTTAGCCACTTGAACCACAGGCACTGAGCCTTTTTTTTTGAGACAGAGTCTCACTTTGTCACCCTCGGCAGAGTGCTATGGCGTCACAGCTCACAGCAACCTCCAGCTCTTGGGCTTAGCCGATTCTCTTGCTTCAGTCTCCTGACTACCTGGGACTACAGGCATCCACCACAATGCCCAGCTATTTTTTTGTTGCAGTTTGGCTGGGGCTGGGTTTGAACCTGCCACCCTCTGTATGTGGGGCAGGTGCCCTACTCACTGAGCCACAGGCGCTGCCCGAGGAGAAATATTGTTAGGTTTTCTTTTTTCCCCTCCTACTTTACTCTTTAAGTATAAAGAATACCTTATTTTCTAATCATTTTAAATTTATTTTTAGGGATATAATCTTGCTATGTTGCCCAGGCTAGACTCAAACACCTGGACTTAAGACATCCTTATGCTTCAGCCTCCTGAGTAGCTGGGCCTACAGACACCTGCCACCAAGTCCAGCTAATTTTTCTCTTTTTTTTTTTTAAAGACAAAGTCTTAAGCTACTGCCTTGGGTAGAGTGCTATGGCATCACAGCTCACAGCAACTTCAGACTCTTGGGCTTAGGCGATTCTCTTGCCTCAGCCTCCCAAGTAGCTGGGACTACAGGCGCCCTCCACAATGTCAGGCTATTTTTGTTGTTGTTGCATTTGTCATCGTTGTTTTAGTTGGCCTGGGCTGGGTTTCAATCCTCCAGCTTCTGTTTATGTGGCTGGCGCCCTACTTACTGAGCTACAGGCACCACCCTAATTTTTCTATTTTCAGTAGAGGCATGGTCTCGATCTTGCCTAGGCTGGTCTGGAATTCCTGAGTTTAAGCTGTCTTTCCACTTCAGCTTCCCAGAGAACTAGGCAGGACCCACATCAAAGCCACTTCTTGTTTTTATAATAGCCATTTTTCTTTTTTTTGAGACAGAGTTTCACTTATTAACCCTCGGTAAGTGCTGTGAAATTACAACTCACAGCAACCTCCAACTCCTGGGCTTAGGTGATTCTCTTGCCTCAGCCTCCCGAGTAGCTGGGACTATAGGTGCCCGCTACAACACCCAGCTATTTTTCTGCTGCAGTTTGGCTGGGACTGGGTTTGAACCCACCACCCTCGGTATATGGGGCTGGCGCTCTACTCACTGAGCCACAGGTGCCACCCAATAGCCATTCTATTATATCACATTAGTTGTGCTTATGGGCCACTGAATATCTTCTTTGAAGAAATGTCTATTCAAGACCTGTTTGATTTTTATTGCTTTGTTATTATGAGTTACAGAAGTTCTTTACATATTATGAAATTAATCCCTGCCTGATATATGATTTGTAAATATTTTGTCCCATCCTGTGTGCTGCCTTTTTGCTCTTTCTTTCTTTAGAGACAGTCTTACTCTGTTCCCCAGGCTGGAGTGGAGTGGAGTGGTAAACTCCTGATCTGCAGTGATCCTCCTGCTAGGACTATGGGTGTGTAACACCATGCCTACCTAATTTTTAAAAACAATTTTTTTAAATAGAAGTCGGATCTCACTATATTGCCCAGGCTAGTCTCAAATTCCTGACCTAACACGATCCTTCTGCCTCCTATTCTCTTTTTTGAGACAGAGTCTCACACTGTTACCCTGGGTAGAGTGCTATGGCATCATAGCTTATAGCAACCTCAAACTTTTGGGCTCAAGTTATCCCCTTGCCTCAGCCTCCGGAGTAGTTGGGACTACAAGTACCTGCCACAATGCCTGGCTATTTTTAGAGATGGGGTTTCGCTCTGGCTGAGGCTTGTGTTGAACTCATGAGCTCAAACAATCTACCTGCCTTGGCCTCCCAGAGTGCTAGGAGTACAGGCGCGAGCCACGACGGCCGGCCCCCTTTTCACTTTTATTTATTTATTTTTTTGAGAGAAAGAGTCTTACTATGTCACCCTTGGTAGAGTACTATGGAGTCACAGCTCACAGCAACCTTCAACTCTTGGGCTTAAGCGATTCTCTTGCCTCAGTCTCCCAAGTAGCTAGGACTACAGGCACCTGCCACAATGCCTGGCTATTTTTTCTTGCAGTTGTCATCGTTTAGCTGGCCGGGGCTGGACTCGAACCTGCCTGCCTTGGTGTATGCAGCTGGCGCTTTAACCACTGTGCTAGGGCTACGGAGCCCCTATTCACTTTTTTAATAGTGTCCTTTGACACATAAAAGCTTTTCTTCTTTTGTTTTTTGGTTTTTCTTTTTTGGAGGCAGAGTCTCACTTTGTTACCATACGTATAGTGCCACAGAGTCATAACTCATAGCAACCTCAAACTTTTGGGCTCAAGCGATTCTCTTGCTTCAGCCTCCCAGGTAGATGGGACTATAGACTGCAACTTCCGGCTTTTTTTTTAGAGACAGGTCAGGAACTTTTGTTCAGGCCTGTCAGGAACTCATAAGCTCAGGGAATCCACTCAACTTGGCCTCCCAGAGTGCTAGGATTACTGGTGTGAGCCCTTGCACCCAGCCTTTGACATGTAAAAAGTTTTCACTTTGGTGAAAACCAGTTTAACCATTTTTTTACTTTCTTTATCTGTATTTTTAGTGTTGTTATCCAAATGCAGTGTCATGAAGTCCTCCCTCCCTT